ACACAGGCATGTACCCAGCTTGGGATTAGATGGCCCTACAAGAGTCACTCAGCCCTGAAATACTGTGGCTCTTAGTGGCCCCTGGCCAGCAGGTCTGTAAGAAAGCAGCGAGGATGGGAGCGAAGGTATGGAGTTTGGGGGTGAGCACCCAGTGGGGAAGAGGATTCAGGCAAGGGAGAAGGAAGCTGCTTAGGGAAAGGACATTGGCATAAACAGGCGTTTCCAGGATTAGGGACCTGGTTATATTTTAAGGCTGAGGGCAGAGTCTGTTGGAGAAAGAGACTGAAGACAATCGTTACGGTGACAATCCCGACATGGCAGGAGACCAGGGGACGCCCAGCTGCAGCAGCTTAGCTAGCTTAGACACGGAGCTACGGGGCATCTAACACGTGGCTGGTCTGGTAATGGAAGACACCCTGGGTTTCAAAATCTTAGCGTTGGGGCCAGCAGGAGGCACAGCAGTTAAGGCGTTGGATCCCACACGGCGGCTGCGCAGCCTGAGTCCGACACACCTGCACTTGAGAATCATGCCAGGGGCGTGTGCGTGCGTGCCTAAAATCCCGAGAGGAGGCCAGAGAAGGGCCTGTGGCATGGCCACACCCCCCGGGGGGGGTGATTTCTCACTTTCTCTCTCTTTCTCTCTCTCTCTCTCTCTAGTGAATGCACATCGCCCCATTAACCATTTATAAAAAGAAAAACCTCGGCATTAAAATAACGCACAATGTCAAATACCTCACTTTTTATACTGATTATGTGTTGAACAGATAATATTTTAGATATACTAAGTTAAATAAGTGAAGACTGATTTTGTTTCTTTTTGCATTTTCTTTTTTTTTAGAATTTTTTGTTTAATTTATTTTGACCAGAGAGAAAAAGCCACCAGGTCTAGGACTCAAATTGCAGTCGGCCATGTACCCTTATCCACACCACCTGCTGGCCCCTTTTTGCACTTTTTAAACATGGCTCCTACATTTAAGGTTACAGGCCAGCTGGCATGGTGATGAAAGCAGCTGGATCCCATATGGCCAACTGTGCGGTTCAAGCCCCGGACCCAGCAGGCACATGTTCACGCACACCCAAAATCCAGAGAGGAGAATGGCGGAAAGGTCACCGCAGTGCAGCCATCCCCCTGGGGGCTGACTTCACTCCCCCACCTCGGTCTCTCTGTGGCAAGTGCCCGTGCGCCGTAATAATAAATACACACGAGGCTTATTTCAGGCTAGCATTATTTCCACTGAAAAAGGCTAATCTAGAAGTTAGAATCCAGAACTAGGTTAAAAAAGTGTGGGGGATTGTTAGGAGGTGGCACAGCAGAAGCAAAACTGGTCCCGTGTGGGAGGGCACTCGGTTCAACTCCTAAGACCTCCCGGAGCGCACACGCCCTATGCCGTGATCTGGGCGGGCCCGTGGGGTGAACGGCAGCATGAAAACCGTTGGTGTCTCTGTCTCTCTCACTGACAAACTTGAAGGAAAAAAAACATCAAAAAACCCTATCTGGAAAAATAAAACCTCTTTCAACAACCCTAGAATATGTTTTCAGACTGCAAGTTTAGCCACATAATGAAAAAAGTACTTGGAAACCATCAGTACAATGACTTATAGTGACAACCCCTACCGGGCGTCATTTACATATGGTGATTCATTCTCAGTGATGAGTCAGTCATTAGGGCGGGCCCTCCCTCAGGGACCAGCGAGAGCCCTAAGAGCCCAGAAGTGTGTCCCCATCCTCCAGGAGCTGCCAAACTAATCCTGGTTATTAGCCAAGACTCAAGAATTACGCAGGGGAACCGGGCCGTTCGTCAGCCTTTCCGCAGTCACGTGCCCTCCACTGCATGGGGTTCCCAGCCTGTGCCCCCGCCCCCGCTCCACCCCACGCGAGTGGGCAGCGAGGTGCCTTCTGAGGGCCTCCTCCCCCATGGTTCTTCATCCCTCAGATTTCCCTCCCTCCAGGCAGCCTCGAGGCTGTGGTATGCGGGTAGCGGGGTTTCCAGCGTCCAGACGACCTTTCTGTTCCCCGAAGATAACAGCCAGAAGCGCCAGAGGGGGGTGCTCACTCGGGTGTTATCTACGATCAACACTGCAGCTCCTGCCTCCAGAGGCCTCCGGAGGCAGCACGGGCAAGCTTCGTGTCTCAGCAGGCGCCCGGTCACCATAGCGGAGGCCTCTGTGCCCCTGTCCTCTCCGAGGGCTCCAGATGGCCGCCCTCTCCACCTCCGGCTCCAGCTCCTCTGGGCTAAGCTCAGCGGCTGGCAGGGCTGGCAAGACCCCTGTGAGCTCAGTCTGCTGGGACTAAGGTGGAATTCCAGCCACCGCAGCAGCTGGCGGGCACAGGGGCCGCACACCCCCACTCCACAGGAGGGTCCGTCCAGCCCAGCCTGTGTTTCCCTGCCCCGAGTTTCTACGAGGCTCCAATCCACACTGAGTGCAGCCTTCTCAGCTGAGGGTGGAACGTGGCCACCAGTGGCCACCAGCTCTTCTACGGCCGCAAGGCCCTGCTCACGGCATGTCCTGCCCCAGGCCCGTCCTGCTCGGAGCAGGCTGCTTTCCTCATGGAAGCAGATGGCGTCAGAAAGAGCACTGCTTTGGGGCCGGCAGGTGGCACGGTGGTTAAGGATGCTGGACTCCCACATGGCCGACCGCAGGTCAAGTCCCAGACCTGGCAGCTTGCTTTCTCACTTTCCCTCTTTCTCTTTCACATTCTCTCTCTGATCGAATTAAAAATAAACAAAGTTAAATGAAAAATAATTCTTAGAAAAAAGAAAGGAAGAAAGAGCACTGCTTCATCTGCAGGAGGGAGACCACTGAGGCTTCATCTGCAGGAGGGAGTGGAGACCTGACGGCTGGAAGGCCCTAGAGAAAGCAGGGCCCTCTTAGCATTCAGTTTTTCTTCCAGTGAAATTAAGGCTTCAGCCTCCCGGGGCTGTAAAGTTTTCCCCTCTCACGAATTCCATGGCTCTCTCTGCTCAAGACTGCTCAGCGGGCCCCGCCTCGGTGGTGCTGTGGGCAGCGCGCGCACCCGCAGTGCTGGAGGCTGCCTGGCCGGCACCCTGCCCCACGACAGGTGCACGCCGAGATCCCGGGCTGGGCATGCCTGCCCCTGCCCACGATGCCCCTCTCCCTGTCTCACGTGCGCTCGCTCTCATGAATAAACTAAAGAGCCTCAACGGTCTCCCTCCTACAGGTAAAGCCCACATTTCCTGAGCTAGCAGCTGACAAGGTGGTTTATAGCCTGACCCCAAACCACCTTCTAGCGCTTTCCGTATGCCTCCATCGCCACCCTCGCCATGTCAGCACCTCCTCCGGGCAGCCCTGGACACGCCACCCCCATGCCTCCTCTTCACCTCTGCCCACACCCCTCTGCTTGCCACCGCTCCCCCGCCTCACTGCCGGCGCAGACGGCACCCTTATCTGTGGTCTCACTCCCACAGTGTCAGTCACCCAGTCAGCCACCATCCAGAAGTGTTACATGGAAAATTCCAGAAACAATGCCAGTCTGAGTAGCACGAAGGAGCCCCGCACGGCCCTGCCTGTCCACCTGGGCAGTGGTTCACCGCTGTCCAGCACGCCCGGCCTGCAGCGCTGCCTGCCACGGGTCACTGCCGCTGTTTACCAGACGGAAGCAGCGCGGTGCTGCGGAGGCCCGGGTGACCGTGGTGTCAGGCACTGCCGGGTCTTGGAGCGCAGCCCCCCTCTCCATGGTGGGGACGGGGGCTGATGACCGATTTATGCAACCCTCCCGGCTCCGTGGCCTGACCTGATGTAACTTCCTCCTCCGAACTGCTAGGACTTCTGTGTAGACAACTCGTTCGGCCCTTAGGGGTCGCTGCCCTGCTAGGAGTCCCTGCCGTGCAAGCGGGTGACACGCTCAGGAAAGCGGGCATTGCCGGGCTCAGAGTACCCGGAGGCGGTGCCCACAGCTGGGCCTGGTACCCCACAGGTCCATGCCATCGCCACATCCAACCCTCAGAGGACTCAGCGCAGGCCCCGAAGCACTGAGTGACCTTAGGCAGGGCCTGGGCCACAGAGCTTCTGCCTCCGGGTGCAACTTGCTCTGCTCAGAACAGGGACCATGAGACGAGAACCCAAAACCCACTGGGGGAAGAGCAACTGGCCACCATGGTGAGAACGCCAGGCCAAGCAGTCACTGTGTGTCACCCAGGAGAAATGACACTGCGGGCACCCCACCCCTGCACTGCTCCAGAGAGAAGGGGCAGGGCAGGTGCCACTGTGCGGCCCAGCAGCTCCCGCACCTCGCTGGGGAGAGTGCGGTGTACACGGCTCTCGGCGCCCCCTGGGGGGGTGAGAAAGGCGGGGGGGGTGGCGCCCCTGGGGGGGGGGAAAAGGGCGGGGTGGCTGCCATCCACGGAAAACAGCCACATGCACACTGGGCCGGCCCGAGAGCTCGCTTCACCAAGGGGGGAGAGGCAAGTCCCACCGTCACCCAGCAGCAAAGCCAGGCCCGACCCCAGGGCCACGCTCCTCCCTGCCAGCCAAACACCGGCTATTTTCCAGGCACGGCTGGAACCCGTGTGCCACCCGGCCAGCCTAGCAACCCCTCAGCGATCTGACCTCCGCTGTGGACCTCTCCCCAGAGGGCACCAACGTTTTTAGATCCCGAGGAATGTACACCAGCTCCGGAAGCTCGGCCGCCCCTGAGCTGGGGCTGCTGGTTCCAGGCAAACCCCAGGTGCTATATAAGGCCCAGAGCGCGGCCAGGCACCACCTCCGCAGGACCAGGTAGGCCGCCGCCCTCCCGTACCTGTGCGCCTGTGTGCAGCTTGAACCAGCTGTGGGCCTGCTG